TAGGCTAAATACATATGTAGTCGTCATCCCCTTAAAAGAGAAAAGGGCGTGAGTTTATATTAATAATAAAATATCTAATATAGCACTATACCCGATACCTGGGCCTGACCTACTTACGAAGCAAACAAATTGTATTTCGTTGTATTGGTAAATATAGTTTACTAACCACGGGAATACTTTGTATTGTGTTATTGCGTGAATTGAATCGCTTTAATAAAAGTGTAATATGATGATGTAATTCTCTTAATTAAGTATACATGGGTGTTAATGTAATATATAAAGTAAGCTTCAGGAATACCTGGAATAAAACAAGACCACGAGGGATAGAAAACCTGTACACGAATTATAAGACTTCATTTTGTACAACCTGTCATATCATTTGAGGGTAATAATTAGAAGTAATATTTACCACTTTTTAAATATTACCTACTCCCTCGAGCGACATGACTATGAAACTCGGAGTAATTAAATGTAATGGATCACACTACGATTCGTGGAAAGTGTCTTTTCATCCTCTCACATTTCAAGTTAAAAATAAATGAAATACTCAATTTCAATTTTTAAATGAATCAGCCGAGTTTAAGACGTAAATTTAATATAAACAAATACGAAAAGTGATTAAGTTATTGTCAATAATAGTAAAATTGCTAAATGAAAACAATAAAAGATTTAAATTCGTTTTCTTTTTTGCTCAGACGATTATATTTAAATTTTAAACATTCAAGTGAAATGTCTTTGGTGTAAGCTAATTTTTATATAGATTTAATACATTTTTAATGTAATATTAAAAAAAACTATATATTAAAAATACGAATCCTAAACAGACGATCTATCATCGTGTACAGACAAACAAAATACAGCCATATTTTGTCATACTGCATAGAAAAGTACTTATTAGCTTATACTATAAGTAAGAATAGTATAAAACAAAGTCGCTGTCGCTGTCTGCCCGTCACTATGTATGCTGAAATCTTTAAAACTACACAACAGATTTTGAAGCGGGTTTTTTAATAGATAGAGTGATTCAAGAAGAAGGTTTATATGTATAATATATCCATAATATAGTAGAAAAATACTGATCAATTTAAAGGTTTCTAATGTGATGTCGTAAATAAACACATTTTTTTCGCGCTTACATTACAAACGCTGGCTGAACCCCACGAGATAAATCAAAATAATATACTACAGTATTGTACGATTTATAAAGGTCAACAAAAAAGTCCGTGATGGTATATGTGATAGACAGTCTTAAGGATAGTCAGTGTTAAGGATATCCCAATATAACCATATTTTAGCCTTTACATTTTATGGGAAAAAATGCTTATTTACGAAGTGATTTTAAGTTATACAACATTAATTTTTATCCAATTAAGTACCTTAAATACATTGTCCATTTAATATATATTAATATGTTTTTTTTTCAATATGTAATTTAAATGAATATTTCCGAAGATAATACAGATTTAAAATGCAGGGACATAGCGATGCGGCGGTACCGGTCCGGCCAGCGGCGCGTGCCTATAGATAGCACGTCGAAGGCTGCGCTTCGCTCTATTGTACTTTATCATGTTTGTGTTGTCTAATGACAAAAAGCTGTAAACGTTGTTTATAAGGACATTCTGTAGTAAGTATATTTAGTATCAGAATTGCACCCGTGCGAAGCCGGGGCGGGTCGCTAGTGTACTATAAGAATGTTATAGTATAATAAGAATATATGCAGTAGTCTGTTCTTGCGACTTTGTATGTATGAACTTTATAAAAAGTAAACTAGCTTTTTCCATCCCAAATAGTACAACAACAAACAAGCTCACTTTCACATTTATAATATTAGTAATAAAATAAAAATATTAGTATCATATACAAATATGTCAAATAACACGTGTTTAGTATTATTTCCGCTGTATTACTGCAGTACTTATTAATAAACCGCAATTTCACCCTAGAAGGCATTTTCGATTACTGAAGTGCTCATCTATCACTACCAATCTTCCGCCGTCTATTGGTTTACAACACATAAGTATATATGACGCACAATATAAACATTTTTTAACTTAGATATTTAAGCAGGCAGATAATTAAATTTACTCGTAATAACAGTTTGTACTCGCGAATTCGTTCGTGTGACCTGGATATATTGAGTGATATAAGGAAGCCTTAATTAATAATTAAAATATCCTTCTCCACCCCAAATACTACAGATATGTTAAATATCATGATAGCCATTAAGAGGCCAATAGGTGATAGACAAATTAACTTTCACATTTATAATATTAGTACATTTATAATATTAGTAGGGATATATACGTACTTACAGAAAATTAATGAACCAATAAGTGATAGAAATGCAGCGAGTAAAGTTAAATTAACTATTGAAAGAAATTGGTCTTAAATATAATTTATTATACTTGTACTAAATTTTTTCTTTATCATAATTGTATTGTGAGCAATTTCCTATAATAGGTATAAGGATTGCTATAAGAAATGAGATAACAATTCATTTGAGGTCCTCGCTCAATTGTATCTAGTAAAAGACGCCCTATACTGCATTTTCCTGTACGAATTCACAATCCGAGATCCTTTTATCTCCAACAGTTGTCGGTTCTTCAAGCTATGTAGCCAGTGCAATGCCAAAGTTAGCTGATTTGTCGTATTAAAAATTTTTAGAAACAAAAAATAATTTATAAATATTTTACATCGATTTTACTTCTGCTTTTTTAGATTTTACAAGTAACTTAATATAAATATTACCAAAATATATTATATATTATATTACTCACATTGACACCTACTTCACCGAGAATTCGAAGAACCGTAATATTTGTTTTTGGATCGCTCTGTACGCCCTGTGGCGATACAAGTTAATCTTACATAAGAAGATGAACATTTTGTTTGATATTGTATAAGTACTCGTATATGTAGGCACAATAAAGATATCTCGACTTCATCATTCCGGGTAGCGTGCTTAAGACTCCATATTCAATTGTCAGCGAATATTAGATACTTAGTTATTACTATACCATTATTTGATCTCATTAAAATTAAGATATTTTTAATTATTATATATTATGTACATTTCAGTATATCATGGTAGCATACTTTGTTACCCAGAATCATTAAAAAGATTTTGTCTTTTAATTGTAATGAGTTTGTACCTGGCTATCACTAACAACTTTGTAAAATACTTAAATTTGTAGTAAAGCTATTTAACTATAGAGTATCCGAGACTGACATTTAGGTTTGTATAAGTTATGAAATCGAATGGAGCAAGAGATATATATAAGAATAGAGGTCTTCAGTACTGTATTTTCTTTGTATACCCTACTAGGGACTTGGTGTGAAGATAAATAGACAGCTACGCCGTACAAGACCAAATCAAGTGTTACTTTCAGAATTATAGAAACTAGTTAACAAAATTTCTCCCCTGAATACCCCATTTGTATGACAGTGGTGATCGTATTTATTTTATTTCTTACTTAACAACATTTCACGAATTCTTGCCTATTTATTACTAGAATCTAAGCACCTAATCTTATGTGAAGGAAAGTCCAACAACATCTATTCCAGACTTATCTCGGATTCCGCGGATTTAAACACAGTTGTCCTCTTCTGTACTGTTTGTTGATCCACTATAATTGTTTATACGTTCCTTTATCGTCTACAAAATAAGTGGGTCATAATAAATCACAGCTAAAAGGCTTCATTGTTGCTCTACAGACAAAGGTCCACGGGTAATAGCAAGTGCGTGCAGAATTAAAACGTGTCCAACCGCATTTCCTGTGGTTCGGGTCGACTCCGCTTTTGCTCTGGTGCTTAAAGTACTTTAAAGCCCAGTGCAAGTGATATTTGTGTGTATTATTCATATATTAATATAGTGTTCATGAGGACACCTACGTACAGCAGTGAAAAATAAATTTATAAATGCGAAATTTTGCAGAGGTTTAGAAGCAGATTTAATTTAAATTAACCATTCAAATCGAACATTACTTAATCTGGATTTATATAATAAGAAAATCTTTTAATCCTAATTCTTTTTAAAAAGTCGATTATTATTACTAGTTGAATAAATTATGTTGATGATATAGACTTAGTATAACGTACTATATACTTCATAAGCCAAGGTTGATGGCATATATATACATCATAACTTAACCGAATTCTTCGAGTCGAAAACAAAACTTTCGAGTAACAGTTGCACACTTTTGCACTATATACATCTTAGATTACAAAGTATATGAGTATGTTATACTAAGTCTATAACATACATACAAGATATATATTAGCAAAAAGTAGTAGTAAACACCATACTAATATAATAAAATTGTAACTAGACGATGTCTGACCATGGAAGATATATAAGAAAATGAAGTCAAAACAGTATCTATTTTTCAGAAATTTTGTCTGTATATCTGACTGTCTATCTACACGTTTATTCCGGTAGCACGCAAAAACTACTACACCAAATTTCATGGTTGTATTTCTGAAGGTCGAACTTAAAAATACTAGATATGTTTTATCTTGATACGCTGTCGAGAAGTGGTATATTTCATTCGTACTCTTACTTCTGAAATTCTCGCAAGTTACGTAGGTAGCAAAAGCTAATAGTAGTTAATAAAATTAATTAATCCGTGAGACAGCGATACGTCAAGTAACGTAGTAGTAAATTATTATTATTATCAACTATTTGCTTTGTATATTTCTGGATATGACAAACGAATCTCACTTATGGTAAGTGACACTTATCCTCTTTAATATACCTTGTGTATTCCTTAATTAATTAAACAAATACTGGAAGTTTTAATTTATACGAAGAAATAAGCCCGGCTACTTCTGTTTTCATCACTAAACAGCTTAGTTGCACTCTGGGTCCGATTCGACAGTGAATCTCTGTCATTGTTGTAAAAAAGTAATCAAATAAACAAATGCAAATTGTCGGAGCACAGCTATAATACTCAAGTAAGTGATTAACATTGCATAGGCGTAGGGTGTTTGTTATTTATTCTCTGATAAGGTTCTATTATGGTTTGCCTTGAATGAATTTTAACAGTCTTTAACGTCGTATATTTCCGTATCTAGGTAAATTTATAGCCTCTTTAACCTCCTGAGGTCTGAAGTCCTAATACTAGAACAAAATCACATTGTTGTAAACGCCCAATTTTTAAAATAGCAATTTGGAGTCAACACCCACTGTACTAATACTAGAACAAAATATTTTCCGTCATCTGCCGCGTTTGAATTACGTGCCACGTTGTGTATTCAATGTCGTTTAGTTTGTAAATATATTTGGTATTGTGGCAGTGCACTGCTTTCAATGGACAGGGAATTTTTTTTCGTTCTTCTGTCATTCTAAGTCGAAGCGATGGCACGTACAACGATAAAAGGTTTGTTTAATTAATTTATATCTTTTAAATCTTTGTGTTATATTTACGACATATTGTTTTTTTATCGGGACAAAGTGATGCAGTTTATATAAACACTATTATTTTATCGTACTTTTGTCAATATCAATATGCTTTTTTAGTGATTATTTTTTTGTACTAATACTAGCACTATAAGCGTTTATATGGTTTTTTAGTGATTTTATTTCATGTTAATACTAGTACGGCGGGCATTTATACCTTTAATTATTTTCCTTCTAGTTAGTCTACGCCATTGTGCTGACAGTTTTCCCTTTCACAGATAGTCAAATATTAGAGATACTACATCAATCAGATTTCGAAGACGACGAGGGAGATCCTTTTACAGGAGAGGATACTGGCAATGAGTTCGTTCCAGATAAGAATGATGCAAGTGAAACCAGTACTAGCTCAGAATCAGAGTCTAAGAGTCCACCACCAATTCTGAAAAGTAGTCGAGGACGAGATCGATCGCGCATGCGAGCCCGTAGTCATGCACATTACAGCAGAAGATGTGAGCGCACTCCGCAATTTACTAGTGCTCGCGGTAGCAGCAGTTCAGATAATCAGTTTACATGGGCTGTAAAGAATTTCACAAAAAACCTTCCTATGCTTTCTGAGCCATCGTACTCGATACAAGACAGAACAAATTTTTCAAAATTAGACTATTTTACTCAATACTTTGATGATGAGCTAATAGATATGATCGTAGATAAAACGAATCAAACAGCCGTTTATAAAACAGGAAAGAGTCTGCTAATAACAAATGGCGAGTTAAAAGTTTTCATAGGCTTGTTCTTGATTATGGCATGTATTGAATAACCAGTAATAAGGATGTACTTATTGGGAATTGAATTATTTGTTATATCAGGTGTTTAAATTTCCATTTTCTATGGGACTTCAGGTTATATGTAGCATCCCAATGTGATAAATATAGAACAAAATATTTTGGAATCTTTTTTTTCTGTCGGGCAAGCCTAAATCAATATTAAAGTATTCCTAAAATATTACACCTTTATCTGTTGTGGTTACCAAGATATGAACAATTTTTGGTCTGGGCGTTTAGGACTTAATTAATTTGTTCTAATATTAGGACACTGGGTCTTCCTTGGATGTACCCACTTTGAAACCGGGCCGCAGGAGGTTAAACGTAATGAGTTTTCTGAATCTATTATCTATTAATATTATATACTCTGGTTCTAGACATATATATGCATACATATATTGTAACAGATGGGGTAATGTTATCATCACATTTTTTAAATTAAATGTGACTCGACTTTCTACTTAACAATTATTAAATACTTAAACCTACTATTGTATTACGCAGCTAGATAATATAGTACTGCTATTTTACGCATAGTGACAATCACGAGTTAAGTGCGGAAATTCCCGGAAAAGCTATTGTTACGTTAGATTTTCTAGATCTTGAAAATAACCTTAGGGGAATGACAATTCTCAGCGTTACTATAATCACAAATGGGCTATTTAGAAGAACTTTTTGTTCTCTAATGGTCTGTACATATTGACTTGGCTATATTTCGCTAAGCATGTATACATTTGGATCTAGAATTGCAAGAGACGAATCTGTGAAAATCTTTTGAAATAATTACAGTATGTTTTTTTTCAAGTGTTTACAATCACTTTATAATCATCTTTATAAATTAACGTTTGTAACTAAGTAGATTCCTATTTGTAGTAGCATCTACAAAGTTTTAATTAAATAGAGGGAAAACTTTATAGTAGATAATACAGAAGGTAACGTAGCTATCGATCTTATTTCTTTAAGGATGTAAGCTTATTACATTATCTGTAGGTATTTTCGCTAGTATTATTCCTTTTTAAGTCTCTATCTTAATTTTTTTTTAATGCAAATCAACATTACTTCTATAAATATTGATTAGTAGTATAATAGTTTCAACTAAATGACAAGTTGTTTTCTTCTTTTCATTTAGGAATTTCCTTTTGTCGGTGCAACTAATTCACGCATCTTCTTCCAGCCAGTTCTATCCCAGGCCATATCCTCGACCTCCCTTAACGACATTTATTTATTTATTTATTTATTTATTTATTTAAGGAACACCAACAGCATATTGCATTATAACATATAGGTATAACAACATTAAATACAATACAATATTAATGCACATGCCTATTATAGGTATTCACAGCATTCATGATACATGATACCTAGTGTTTCTTTTATCTGTCCTGTGTAGTTTAAAAATCCTCATAACGTATAAGATGGCCTAGCATTTTGCGTCTTCTCTTCTCTATTCCATTGACAAGTTGTACGAAACCAAAATTAAAAAGTGCAGAACAAAAATTTATGAAGTCTTATAATGAAGATAATGCTACGCAATAATTTCCGTAATTTCATTACTGGAATATATTAACTAACGCGGATAAAATTTCTTTTTTTATATCAAATTGTTATGACATTTGATGAAAAAAAAACAATAAACTTACTTTTTCATTTATAATCAAGTACTTAAGGATTAATATGAATTGTTGCGATATCAATTATTCTTCATTTCCACGACAAATTAGTATTGTACTTTACACAAAATACAACGTTTTTGCATGTTTTAATGGAAAACAGAGCGCGTATAAACTGAAATCGTTTTTCATATTGTGCAAAAAACTTGCTGGTTCGTTAGGCTACCATTTTGCACACGGCACTCGTACCTATGTGTATAAATTCTGACTCTCTAGACGTTAAAATTTCTGTACTATTTTTCGAGTATTTTGTTGAAGTGTTATTATTTTTGTTCATATTAGCTATTTTAAAAGAAATAGGAATTGAGTACCCAATAACGTACATTAAATAAGCTCGCAGCTTTGGTCGTATGACCAACTACCGACTCTATCTACGTATTTGCTTATGAGTAAGAAATAACCCAGTCCTACTAGGTATAAAATATTTCATTACGATTGGTCGAATCGTTATAGTACGAATAAGTGTCATAACATTGTTCATTCAATTTTTTATTATAACTCTCTACTAGTCGTCATAAAGATGGAAGGTTACTCCTTACCTATTTTATCTATATGTCCCAGTGATGCGACGGGTAAAGTACGCAATAAGCTCTTAATTAAAAATCATGACTTGGAAATTGCCGAAACGATAATAGGGCAATCTTTTGGAAAGTGCGAAACATTTTATTGACTTGTACCGCTTGCTACAGCTGTCGAAACAAATTATTTCGTATTTAATGAGTTCCGTCCAAATAAAAATCCTTATTTCGATATCGCAGTGGTTTGTTTTAATTATCAATTTTACTTTTAGAATGCTTAATGAGTATTTTATTGGGGATGTCTTTAATAAGAATAAATTTCTTTTTTATTAATTGCAAGTATTAATTATGTATTAATTTCAATTGCTGTGACTACTTTTAACCAACTTAAAATAAAAATATATGTAACTTTATAGGGTGAGATATGGCAGTGAAAAAAAAATTACAGGGACAGAAGAATAAGCTTAGTCCTCAGAAATAGCAAAGCATTTTTTTATATAACTTAGAATGGCAAACAAACTGACGGTCTACCTGATGGAAAGTGGTAACTGTCGCCTATAGATATGAGCAGTACCATGGACATACAACAGAGTATACTGTTTTGCCCATGATACCCCCCATGCGTTGCCATTCCTGAGGACTCAGGTGTTATTCCTTTGTACCCTGTAAATTCACGCCCTATCCCACCCTTCAAACCGAAACACAGCCATACAAACATAACTGCTTCACGGTAGAAACACGAATCGGAAAAGCATGGAGGTATCATGGGAGAAACTGTATTTTTATTATTATATCAGTTGTTAACTGTCTACTGCTGAACATAAGCCTCCCTATAGGGAGGTTTTGCCAATAGTTACCATCTTAGCAGGCGGATTGGCAACCGCAGTTAGGTTTTGGGAATGTTTCAAGAGGGACGCTGCTGGCCATCTCTCATCATTGGCAAAACTCCCCTTATGAGGAAAGCTTATATCCAGCAGTAATAAAAAATACAGAAATACCCTATTATATGTCAATATATTTTGACTGAATACTCTGAATATGGACATAAATCTAATTCAGCCTGTGTAAGGTATTATTATTTTACAATTGGCTATAAAGACCGTGGGTCAATAGAGCTCAGACGTAAAAGAATTTTTTTAGACAATCTTTAGTGACCCTAGAGCTGGTAGCCACTGCGCAAAGAATAATGTATGCTTATCCAAAAAGGGTAATGTAATGTTTATTTAATGTAGTATTAATTGTTTATTTTACAGCTTAGCGCATTATCTTTATTTATCGATTATGTTAAAAATCTATAAGATTGTGTACTACTGAACCAATTTTGATTGAAAATTTCTATGGAACCAATCTGTAAGTATATTCTTACAGAAAAAAATCCAATTCGGTTTATAACTGACGGATCTATGAGGTAACAAACACACAAAATACACCCCAGTTGAGAGCCACCTTTTTGAAGTCGGTTGAAAATGGGTTGTGCCGTATAAAATCTATGATAACTCATTCCGCAAATATTTTATAATTGCTCTAGTTTTTACTTTTTACTCACTCTTGTCAAATGATTTTTATTTATTTATTTGTTTATTCTATTTTATTTCAATTTTATAATTTATTTATCCCTTAAATATTCCACATTCTACGATATATGTTCGTATAATCTGGTAAACAATATTGATAAGTAATTAACACCATATATGCAAATCTTGTTGTGTAAATCTTTACTAATACCTATTATAAGAGAGTTTGTTTGTTTTCTCTTAACCCAGTAATGGCTTAACCAACCACTAGGTATACGTAGACATACTATATGTATATGAGAAGGATCTGTTGCTTCTTGTTGGTATATGTATGACATAAAAGGTATGCTTTTATGTTAGTGAACATATCACGCAAACGAAGTCATATATAGGTATATATATAAATGTAAGTGATTAATGTCAGAATAATCTTCATAAATATTATGATTGTCACATGTCATCTAATAGGTACCTACCTTGAGGATCATTGCATCTCATATATCTCTATATAAACATAAAATGTTTACGCCCCCAGGCTCCATAAAAAAAGGGTTCTTTCATAAATATGTAACTTTAGAATATTGCTTTAGTTGTGCGATAGGTTGGATAACCCTTGATCCATTCCAATATAAAAAGTGGAAAGAACAGAATGTGGTATTCGAAAATAACAATTCATAATTATAATAAAAGTAGACAAATAAAGTTTCATTAAGCACTGAATGTTTTAGCATGAGTACTTTATATATTTAGCTAAGTTAGCCTTTTAGGATTTTACAAGTAACTTCATAGTTCTTATACAAATATATATCTTATCTTTATATATCTCTTATATAACTTATATATATATATATATATATATATATATATATATATATTTATATAAAACTGACAGTGATATTTCAATTTATCAGAACTCGCGCGTTGTTTACCTAAAGAATTTGGATTTTTCCAAATTGTCGAGATTGTTTTAATTCGAAGAATCTATTATCTATTCGATCAAGATTTTCTCTATTTTAGTCAATACTAATTAGTAGTATTAGTAGTTAAATAAAAATATAAATTTGTATCTATATTTAAAATTAAAATAGCTAGTTTAATACAAATTGTTTTCAAAGACCTAATTTACGACAATGTATTTTGATAACAGTAATTAAAGTGTCTTTCTTAACACTTTACGTGAATTAAACAATTTAATTTCGTATAATATTTGTGTAAGACTAATAGGTTTTGAACATGGGTCACAAAGTGTATTTACCGAGGTTAAATTGTGTGCAATTAAAAGAGGAAAGGTGTATAATAGCTTGGTAAAGATAAAAGCTTTGAACTTAAATTGCTATATTATTGAATTTCATTAAACTTAAAGTAGATTTTGAAACGTAACAATTACAACAGGGCGCGAGATATGATAATCAAAATTATCATTGATACTAAAACATGACATTAAATATTTCAGATCAATTTAAAAAAAAAACCGAACATTAGAATTATAATAAAAACAATGTTAGTGTATTTATTTATATTTATTATTGTTTATTAACCTAAATTTGTTGTATATGCGACTTTTAATTTTTTTTTTTATATTTTAAGGTTTCGAATTGTCCTATTTTTTGGGT